GGGACAGAGACTCCCCAAGGGCTCCCAGCAGAGAGATGGTAGTGTGGGGATCCACACGGAGGTCTGCGGACTTCCTTGTCCCATCTCTCAAAGTCAAGAATGTTTGACAAAAAGACATGGCCACGCTCAGGTCTGTTGAGCCAAGTGTTCTTTGTCCCCGGCATTTTTGAAGCCGGCTCTTTCCATGTAGCATAGGCTGGTCTTGGACTTGTGGTCCTCCTGCTTCTGCCTCCCAAATGCTGGCATTACGGGCATGCGCCACTGAGTCCAGCGAGAGCCGAGTGTCCGAATGCTGCCTCTTCGGCTGTGTTTCCCAGGCTGCCTGGAATGTGAGCACCACTAGGAGCCACAGACAGGTCTGTGTTGATCAGGGGTCTGTGAACTATAGCTCCTGGGCCACGGTTGGCCCTTTGTTTCTTTTTTCTTTTTTTTTTTGTGGTACTGGGGATTGAACTTGGGTCCTTGCACTTGTGCAGCAGGTGGCGAAACCACTGAGCTAAATCCCTGGCCCCTTTGTTTCTTTTTATAAATAAAGTTTTATTGGAAAACAGCCAAGCCCATTCTTCCATGCATGGCTGCTTTTGAGCAAAAGTGATGGAGCTCTTGTGGCCCAGGGCCTGACACACAGGCGACTCCAGCACGTATCTCCTGAGTGTTTAAGAGATGCTCTTTACATTCCATTAAATCCTCCTTCTCACCAGCTCAGCAGGTGGCTACTATTGAGGGTTTGCAAATCAGCAGCCACAGTTTCTGAAATCTAAGAAATTCCAAGAAACCCATCCTTTTAAAAGAGAACTCATGAAGGGAGGGGAAGGGAAAAGGAAAGGAGGGAAAGGAAAAACTATGAGAAAAGAAAAAAATGGAAACAAAGTCTATGTAAATAGTGAAGGGTGGAGGGGTGAAGGGTACACAGGTAATGGCGAAAAAATAAGAACCAAGATACATCATGTACAGGTACAAGCACCCAATGAGAAATATAAACGAATTTTATACTTAAAATGTACCAATAAAAGAACTTAAGAAAAAAAAAATAAAAGAGAACTCAAACTCCCAACTCCTGGGCTCAAGTGATCCTCCTGCCTCAGCCTCCCAAGTATCTGGGACTCCAGGGCTCACCATCACATCTGGCTCAGCTGCACTTTCAAAAGATGAATGTGCAGCAAACTCTGACCTGTCCTGACCCGACTTATCCGCAGCAAAATGTTCCTTGAACAAGTGTGAGGCTGTGCATAGCCACGAGTTTCATGACGGGGATGCTGCATAACAGAAGTCAGCACAATGCGATTCTCCGGTCTGAGCACTGAGAGTCTGCAGCCTGTCTGGCTGGAAGGCGTGCGTAAGAGAAGGATGTACAACTTCCTTTATTCGGCAGCTGAGGACTGGAGGCTGAACAGCACTGTCAGTGACAGCAGAGGCTGAGTCTGAGTCCAGCCCTCTGCTCGGATCTGAAAGTCCTAGGCATCAGCAGCGGCCTGACCACCACTGACTGGCTTCATCCAGAGGAAATCAAGCTGCAGGCCTGGCCTCACTCCCACTCTTGCTGAGCTTTGCCTGCTGCCAGGAGAATCTTGTCTTCCCCTGTCAGATCTTTCCAGGCTGCAGCTGTGCCTGGCCACACACGCACACACGCACATGCATCTCGGAATGGAGCTGCATACTCTTACATTTCATTTCCCCGTGGCTGCCTGTTGTTTTAGCAATCTTATCTTTATGGATCGGTGACAAAACTCACCAGTAACTGGGCGAGGGAGAGAAAACAGATGCTTTTCCAGCCGGGCTGGGCTGAGCCGAGCACTTTGTCATCGAGGTTAAAACCTTTGGCTCCACCAGCCAGGGTTCCTTGCAAAGGATGGCGACCATTTCTCTGTCTGCCTTGGGGAGCTGCCGTGGTGCCCCAAACTCTCAGCCATAGCTGAGGGGGAAAATGTCATTTGCTTGTTGGAGATGACAGTGAGGGGGGGCCCTGCAGGGGTGCCATTTCCTCCAGTGGAAAATCAGTGTGGTTTGGGGCTAGCAAGTCTTCAATGAGCTGTAGGTTTGGCCCCACGACTGTGAAGTAAGTGTGGAGTAGGACCCAGTTGTAAGAGGGTGAATACTGCACGATTTTGTCTAAAAAAAGAAGGATGTATCTGTGTGTGTGAGTATACGCAAGAGTGTGAAAATGTAGAAAAAAGACAAGAATCAGCTCTTACCATGAACACAGGAAGTCAATGGGGGGGGGGAGCTGAAGGGGAGGGTGGGCTTCTGTTCTCAGCATAGACACTGCAGTGTTTTTCCTTCATGGTGCCATCGAAAATAAAAAAAAAATACAATTAACTGGCAAAAACAAACACCAGGAGAAACAGCTGTGTGAAGCCAGAAAGCCCTTTAACGTCGAAGAATCAGGAGGCTCCAGAATGCAGGACTTCCGGGTTTGGGCATTCCTGATTCACTCAGACTTGGAGGCTGAATCAGTTCTTCCTGCCCGGAACAAGGGAGAGTAACTTCCGTGTTGAGCACAGGGAAACCTCTCTCTCCTCCTGGCTTAGGGTTATTAACTTTTTTTTGGCTTACTGCTGTGGTTTTTGTGTCTGTAAAGAAATAGGAGATTTCCAAAATGATGATCTTTATCATCTGTCCTCTACACATCCTTTGAAAAAGGTCAAATGATTAAAGAAAAGCCATAAAGAAGAAAACCCCACTACATTAAAAAACCAGCCCCTTCAGAACCTAGCAAGAATAAAGTAGGTCCTGGGGGAATCCTCTAGACAGTGTACAAAAAACTTCTGATCTTTGGTTAACCTACTGTTGGACAATGTAGTTGCCTTCTCCCATTTAGGTTATCTTTTAATTGAAGTTACATTAGATTGCCTGTTATTTCTTTTTTTCTTCTTTTTGTAGTACAGGGGATTGAACCCAGGGGTGCTTTACCATTGAGCTACATTCTCAGTCATTTTTAAATTTTTTTTCTTTGTTTTGGAACCGGGGAACAAACCCGGGTCCTCAGCTTTCAAGACAGGCGGTGGAACCATTGAGCTAAATCCCTGGCCCTTAAATTTTATTTTGAGGCGGAGTCTCCCTAGATTGGCATCCTCCTGTCTCAGCCTCTGGAGTAGCTGCTATTACAGAGATGCATCACCGTGCCCCGTATTTCCAGTTACTCTCGTTCAATGTCTTCCTTATAAATTGGGTTGAAAACCAGGAAATGACGAAGGAGGCAGAGGAGAGGGGAACAGGGTCATCCCTCCTGTTTCATCTCCATGAGGCACCAGCTCCAGGTGTGGATGCTTTTCCAGCTGTGAGTCTGAAACTTGCTTCTCTTAGGACAACAGCACACTTAATTCCTGGAGGTTTCATTATAGCTCTGAAAGCATAAGTGAGCAGCACAATCTTCATTACGATTTGTGAAGTGGACAAATTGTTTTCTCCAGGCTGTGATTTTTAAGTTACAGGACATTCGTCTGGCTTGTCAGTGTCGCTGGGCTTTGAGGCTCCAGAGTTGGGTTTGAGAAGAGTGTATCTGCATCCACTTTTAGCATAGGGTTATATGAAGTGAGGATCAGGCAGGAAAGATTTTTTGTTTCTGGGCCGGGGATTTAGCTCAGTGGTTTTGTTGCCTGCTGCGCAAGTGCGAGGACCCGAGTTCAATCCTCGGTACTAAAAAAAAAAAAAAAAAAGATTTTTGTTTCCATTGATCAAATGAGATAAAGAAAAGATCTTTTGGAGGGTTGATGTAAATCACAGATTTTGTTACGGCCCTTTTCAAAGGATTATTACTGTATTATTTCTTATTCGATCCTCAGCACTGCAGGAGGTTGACAGAAGCAAACTTCATGCTACAGAGAAGCAAAAAAGATTAACTCTTGGGCCAGGGATTTAGCTCAGTGGTGCCACAGCCTGCTTCGCAAGCACAAGGTTCTGAGTTCGATCCCTGTTACTGCAAAAAAAAAAAAAAGGTTAACTCTTGTGTGAAAACAGTGGGCCAAGAGAGTTTGAGTCTCTTCAGTAAATGGCAAGCATGGTTTTGTTTTGCTTTGTTTGCGGTGCTGCGGGTCAGCCTAGGGTCCCGAGCATACTAGGCAAGGGCTCTGCCCCTGAGCTACACCTCTGGCCCGAATTACAGCTCTTACCGTGCTTTAGTAGGGCACTCCAGCGTATCTGTGCTAAAGGTGACAGAAAATTTGCTGATTGGCACACTAAAAGCCAGAGGTTTACTGTGGCACGAGTCACCCCGCACACCTACTTCCGGCTTAGAGGAGGGACTAACCGCACCTCTGTGTCAGGTCTGTGCGGTCAGCTTTGGCACGTCCGGCCAGGAACTTGTCTATTTTTAGCATTTACTACCTGAGGTGGTTGTGGAACGCATGGACTTGGAGGAGCACACAGGTCCCATGAGTGGGTGGTGCGGGACTTCGGGGGATCCGCCTACACATTCGCAGGCTCCCTTTTATCCGAGGGGTGTGGCTCGCCGTTTACAGGGAGGGAGCCTGGATCTCAGCGTGGAAAGCAGCTCTGACACCCGAGAACAGGGACCCACAAGAGGAGTGTCCTTCCCTGGCCTCACTTTTAGACTGGGCTGCTTTAGAGGCAGAATTTACTTTTCAAATATTTACGTTCAAATGTTCATGTTCATGGGAGGGGATAGGTTTCTAGCAGGTGTGAAGTGGCATAAAGACAACAACAATAATAAATAATAACTATATAATAATCATCATAGCTCGCGCGGATTTGTAGGGCAGGTACTCTTTGAGGTATTTTTCAAGTGTTAATTCATTTAATGCTCACAGCAACCCTGTGAGGTAGGTTCTGCTGTTATACTCACCTTACAGTTGAGAAAACTGAGGCAGGAGGCCAAGAGGCTGTCCAGCTCTCCCTGGGGTGTTACTAAGGTCACACACAGCGAGGATAGTGAATTCCACCTTCAGCCACTAGACAAGGGCAAGTTCGGTTTCAGACTGCACATCAGTGTTGTTGCTAGGAAGCCGGGGGGAGAAACTCAGTTGCGTCTTTAACTGATTAAGTTGCTAGGAAAAGAGCTGTGGGAGACTCAGAAGCCGAGGACAGACGTTCCTGGTTTCTCCTAGCGTGCTTTGCTTTCTCCGGGTGCCTCAAAGCCAAGGTCTGGTTTGAGCTTGGATGGTTGATGAAAATCAATAACAGGATCTCTCTCTCTCTGCTTATTTCATAAATTGAGTGCATGAGTGATGCAGCTTCACTGTGTACTTCGGTACATGGGGGAGGAGATTTTCCCAAGCTCTGCCGAGTTCACTGCATCCACCCGGGTCGTTTCAGACTTGACTTCCTCAAGTGGAAGGTTCTGGCTCCTCCAGGGAGCAGATACCGCTTACCACCCATCCTCTCGTTGGGTGCCTTGGCTGTGTGTGGCAGGGACTACTAAGCTGTGCACTGACCAGCAGCATTGTCTTTTTTCCAGGTGATAAGGAATCTTGGATTGCAGGGCTGCTGGGACATTTAAGAAAGCCTTCAAAGATCCATACTCTTCCTTTCTTTCAGCGTTGACCTCCACCTCGTGGTTCCACGGTGGCTGCTCCTTGAAAGGCTTGGTGATGTACTGCACTCGGAGAGAAGAGAAGGTGACAAATGTGGATGCTAGCCAGATTTTTCTTTTCTTTTCTATTTTCCTTTTTTTTTTTTGGTACCAGGAATCGAACTCAGGTCCTTGCGCTTGCAAGGTAGGGGTCAGAACCACTGAACTAAATCCCCGGCCCCTTCTTTTCTTTTTTCAATGCTGGGAATAGAACCCAGGGTCTTGTACATACTGGGCAAACACTGCCGACATGCTATATTCCTACCCTAGAATTTTCCTTTTTATCCAAGGAAAAAAATTCTGCAAAGGAGCTGGGGTAATCAAGGTTCTTTTTTTTTGGTACCGGGGATCGAACTTGGGTCCTTACACTTATACAGCAGGTGGTGAAACCACTGAGCTAAATCCCCAGCCCTGTTTGTTTGTTTTCTGAAAGCCAAGCTTCTACACATTGTGAATGATTCCATGGTTCTGTGAATAAAAAAGAAGAGGTGAGAGAATATTTGATAATCAGTAGTGACTGCCAGTTACCTCCTGACTGACTCTGTGTGTGTGTGTGTGTGTGTGTGTGTGTGTCCCCGCCCTGTCTTTCTATGTTGGAATCTAATCCCTGGTGGTATTCGGCAGTGGCGACGTTGGGATGTGACCAGGTCATGACAGCGCTTACAAAGTGGCCACCGAAAGTTGTCTTGACCCTCGTATCATGAGGGGACAAGGGGAAGGGGAAAGGCTCATGGATGAGCTAGAAAGGAGGCTTTCCAGACAACAGATTGATGTGTGGTGAGAGTGGTGGATGGGTCAGTGTCCACGACATACCATCAGGTAATGGGAGAAATTATCTCGCACTGCACCTTCTACTTCCACCTCATTTTCTCTGCTCTTCTACAAGGCCTCAGGGCCATGGTACTTGAGGTCCCTCTGCCGGGACTGCTCTCTGCCAAATGGCCATTTCTCTTCACTCATTGCTTTATCCTTCACCCAAATATCACCTCCCTGGAGGGGCCCAACCACCCCATCCACAGCAGCTCGGTGGATCCCTCTGCTCTCCCTCCTGTGTTCTTCTTCGCGCGCTGTCACCCATGGACACATCACGTGCTCATGCATTTCTTTGCTTGCTATTCGCTTGTCTAGCAGGCACGATTCACCAGGGCCTTGCTGCTGTGAACTGCTGGCCTGAGGGCTGTGGGCCCGCTTCCTCCTGGTCTCACAATATACATTTGAAGAATGAGTTGATGGTTTCAGAGTTCCACTTCTGGCACTGTCATTATGCCAGAGCCCAGATCCTATCCTGCAGTTACCAGGAGTGCAGGATTTGAATTCAAACACGGTTGGCTTTGAATGCTGGCTCTGCTCCAGGAGCGCTTTCTGGAGTTGCTAGGCCTCCTTAGGGCCCAGTATCTTTGTCTATAAAATGATTTTTAAAGGCAAATCTCTTATACAAAAACAAAAGACAGAGGACAAGAGACCAAAAGGTAGTCTTTTAGTGATGGGGAGAAGGTTTGGGAAGGGAGGGTTTTAGCAGGGATGAAAATAATCAAAATGTGTTACATATATGCGCCGATGTCCCTTTGTGAATCTCATTATTCTGTATTGCCACAATGCACCAATAAAAGAAAAACTGACAGAAACACAGGCATAAAAAACACATGTCTTAGTTGGGGGACATGCCTGTAACATCAGCTGCTCAGGAGGCTGAGGCAGGATGATCCTAAGTTCCAGGTCAGCCTGGGCAACTTAGAGTAACCTAGTCTCAAAATAAAATAAAAAGGGCTGGGGATGTAGCCCAGCGGTAGAGGTTCCTAGTGTGCACTGGGCCCTGGGTTCTAGCTCCAGGATGGCAAAAGCCAAACCAAAACCGTGTTTCTTACACTCTACAGAGACAAATAAGGCAGTGACTAGGAAGCACCGCGGTTGTCACTAAAAAGGCAGCAGGCAGGTTCAGTGTGCAACAGGCATGGGCAGCTGCTTCCGGGGGCCAGGGCCCAGGGTATTCCCTTCCGTTCACGTTCCCAAGAGAGTGCCTTGGAATGAGACTTAAAATATTTCATCAGGTGAAACTCGGGAGAACTGTGAGCAAATGGAAAACCGAACACTTCCGAACTGCGATCTGCCCAGGGCAGCAGGAAGAAAACCAGCTCGTTCAGCGCCAGCAAATGCAGCTCAGGCTGCAGTCTTCCAGAGCCAGGATCAGGAGCCTGCTGGCTGCAGATCTCTGCTCCTCTGAGAAGAGCATCATTTCCTCTCCCTCCCCTCCTAAGGGTGACCGGTATAAACCCTGCTCAGAGCAATTTTAGCTTCCCCCTGTAGCTTAGATTTCGCATTTTATGTTTGTTTCCGAAGTTTTCTTCCAACCCAAATAAACACAGGCTCAGAAATGAAGGGACTCGGGTTATCATTATCTGATTCTCCAGGGGCTGGACACCGAGGCTGGCCCCACTGGGCTGTGGGTGATCTGGCAAGTGTGCCTGCTTCAAGGAGGGTCCTAGCAGCCAGGAAGTGGGTAGCTGTGGGCTGGGGTCACTCAGTGTCCTCACCTGTCACCTGTAGCTCCTGCAGGGAGTGAGCCACTTCTGGGCTTTCCCTACCCTTTAAGGTAGCACTACATAGAATCTTTCAGGATTTTCTATTCACATTACATTTAGCCTTTCTATTTGTGTTCCCCCTCCCATGCTGTGGGCATTATTACCACCCCCAATGAAAGGAAGCACATTCCATTCATTCATTCATTCATTTGGAGCATCTACTGCATGACTGGTTCCATGCCTGGTCCGGTACTTGAAAGCCCCTGCCCACAGGGCAATTCATGTCTATCAAGAAAGCTAATGAACTACTAAGTACAAGAGTTAGCTAATTTATAAGTCAATGCAGAATTGAATAGAATACATTGTGTTTATTGTAATTACGCTTAATAAAGTAATTGTGTTTATGACTACATGACCACTCTCATATAATACTTACTACATGCTGGGTGGTATCCTAAGCACTTAGTATATTAACTCATTTTATGTGTCTCTATTTTACAGATGGGGGAACTAAGAAACTGAAAGATTAAATATGTATTGGAAGTTCTACAGCAGTTTACTGCTGGGGGATTTGAAGCTCAGCTATGTAGATGTTCAGAATCATCTCGAACCACACACTCTACTCTGTTGTCTTTCCAGACAGCCCATAAAAAGTAGGCAAGATGACACTGAGCATGGACAAGAGGCACCAGGAATGGATGCTGGGTGATGGTATGGCCTGGGATGGGTGGGTTGGAGGGGGCTGTTGTGCACGCACACGTGTGTGTGTGTTTGTTTGTGTGTGTGTTTGTTTGTGTGTGTTTGTTTGTGTGTGTGTGTGTGTTACTAGGCAGATTCTTCAAGGCGGAGAAGGAGAAAGACCTGTTGGCAGAGAAGAGAGCAAACGCAGAAGCTGGAGGCAGGGAGGACTGTGGCCACGTCAGGGTCAGAAAAGGCCGAGTATCCAGGGCAAGCTGTCCCCTGGGGACCCCAGCAGGAAGCAGATCCGAGGGGGCTTTTAGTTCAGGTTCTGCTCAGAAAAGGCAGCTCTGGGTGCATCATCCTGGTCAGGGTTTTGGCCAGCTTGTCTCGTCTGGCATTTGCCCTGGAGGTGAAGGTCATCCCCTTGTAGTCAAGAACCTTCAGGCAATTTGGAATCCCCCTTCCTCCAGAAGAGTCTGAGCTGGATGCATCTCTCCCTCCTGATCAGTGACCTGACCCGGTGACCGCTCCAGGCGCAGTGACCCGTGGTGGTGATGAACTCACAGCAGTCTGAGCTGCTTTCACACCAACCTCAAGACTTCCCCAAAGTGATGTTTCCTGGGTTGTGGTTTAAAAATAAATTCTGAATATTAGGTTGTTTTCTTGCGATTTGCATGATTTCTAAAAATGGAGCACAGGGACCAAAAGTAAGAAAAAAAAAAAAAAAAAAGGAGGTGGTTTTATGTAACAGGTTTCCAGGACATCAAGACCTTTCCTGTCACTTACATCTGCCTCCTTAGAGGCATAGGTCTTAGGACCCATGGTGCTGGCAGATAAATAAGACTTGAGTTAAGAGAAAATAAGTGACCTACACAAATATTTTGCAACAAAATTGTGTGCACTAGTGACAACCCCATCACCCTGGAAGTGATGCAGTTAGTTCTAGGCTGAGTAGCAATACGCCCATGACCCCGATACCCAAGCAAAGCACACTGGACCCACACTGCTCACTGTGTTGGGGAAGGAAATCTCATTTCATTCACTCTTTAATGGGTAACCCTGAACATTCATCAGGAGGGAATGAAGAGTTCAGGCAACTCGGGTTAGAATCCTCGAACTCCTCATTCCTTGACTGTGACCTTGGGAGAGGCCCTTACCTTCCTGGAGCCTGTTTCCCCATCTATACAGTGAGCACAATGATGGCACACATTTTGCAGGACTGGTTGTAGTGCTGTAAAGAAGTTAACTCAGAGCTGGGTGTGCATAAGACCTCCACGATTCCCATCATGCCCCTCTCAGTCCTCCCGTGCCCACTTCCCATCCCCCAGGTCAGTGTGACCCCGGGTCTCCCGCTTAAAGGCTGGGGTTTGGCTCAATGGTAGAGTGTGTGATTAGCAGATTCAAAGTCCTGGGCTCAATCCCAGCATCACAAACAGAAACAAAAACCCTGGTCAGGCTTTGAGATTCTTTTATTATGTCCAGGATTAGAGAAGAGAAATGTAACTTCACTGATAGAAGGACATAATTTGTTGAACATTCTGCTTAAGTTTTCAAACTTTACTCACTGTATGAGCCTATGTGCTCTATCTTCTGCTTGGTGGTCAGATGTAACTTCATAAGTCATAGTGAGCTCCGCCAGTGAACTTTCTGATTCTCAAACACAAACCTCCCTTGTCCACCCCAGGACATTTGCATATACTCTGCCTGGAGTGTCATTCTGTAGACTGCCCACTGCTGGCACCCGAGGACTGAGAGGGGGATGATGGGAAAAGAACCCAGTGGAAGTGTCAAGGAAGGTCATAGTGGAGGAATGAGGAATTTGAGGATTCTAACCCAAGATGCCTTCAATTGCTATATATATATATGTGTATATATATATATATATATATATATGATTTCTTCAGAAAGCTCCCTCAGTTACTCTTTTTCATGATCTAGTTTTGTTGTTCATAACACCCACCAAAATCTGATTTATTATTATTAAAAAAAATTTTCTTTTTGCCCATCTGCCCCTAAAATGGTGAGGTCTTTGCCAAACATATTTGTTTGTATATTCCCCAGTGCCTTAGTGCAATATTTCGCATACCATAGGTACTAAATAGGTAATCTCTGAGTTTGTTATTGATTCTGAATTTGCAAATTGGTGACCAATGTTTGGTCACAAGTCTCCTATTAACAGGCAACTGAACTTTGCTTGTTTTCTATTGCCAAGAGCTGCTTTGGGATGACCCAAACGTGTGTTGTCTTGTGGAGCCCTAGTGTGAGGCTGAAATGTCAGGTGATACCGGATGAAGCTCAGACGTCTGAAACCTTCACAGTACCAGGCCTCCGCTAGGGAGTAGAGAATTTGGCCTTTCGGCGCATGACAAGATGGGGTTTACCGTCAAGTCCACTTAGCACATGTTTATTCTGAGTCCTGCTTTCCTTTGTTTCCTGTAAGTATCGCTTCATGCCCTGCAGGGATCTGAGGTTGCAGAAACACAAGGAGACTATTAACATATCAATAGAGGGATCTCTTTGGAATCCAGAATTTAGACTAATATTTGCATCTTGAGCTCAGAAGCCGCCCAGGCAAGCCTGCTTATTGATTGCCTTTAATTTCCCTTTAAAACAGTGTCTACTCCTGAATAAAAGATTAAGAGAGGAGGGCTCAGCTTGTCTTGTGATTTATATTCACTTTCTCCTCCTTTCTATTCAGAAACACATTGCACACTGTCCCCACTCCTGAGATGTTTGGATTCAGTTCCTCAAGAAAAATAGCTGCTGGTCATCAAAGCCTGCAGCTTAATTGAATTTATCTTTGTCCACTTAATCTTCATGCATATAAAAAGTGGGGGTGGGAGGGATGTGTACTGAAGACACATACCGCAAAACACACAGGGACATTAGGAGAATAAGCCCAGGAAAGATACAAAATATGCTTTAAAAAATTGAAATGGAGGATGCCATGTAGAATTTCTGTGCTGCTCTTGGCTTTGGGTGTTCTATGTCACTCCAGTATAAAGATGACAGCCTACAAAGTAAATGTGTTGCATCATTGTGGAGCAGTTCTATCATTTTTTTTTCCCCACAGAAAATAATTTATTTTGGTGTTCCTAAAGTTCTTAGAATTTTCATAGCATGCACAACTCTAAATAGAAAAAAAAATCAGTTTTTTGAAAAGCCTTTTTCCAATTAATAATTTGATATCTATTGACAACCCCACAGAATTTTAAATCTTAAAAAGTATTGCTGGGCTGGGGATTTAGCTCAGTGGTTCCACCGCCTGCCTCGAAAGCGCAAGGACCCAAGTTCAATCCTCAGTACCAAAAAAACAAAACAACAACAACAACAGCAAAAAATATTGCTGATCCCCATAATTTATAGTTATTTGAATTCTATAAACTTCTCTGAACAGAATGATTACACGTGGAGAATCTGCAAAGCCCAGGATGCTTCCATGTTTCTTAGGTTTTTGTTATGCGAAACATATATTCTCTGAGTCAGTTCTGAACGAGGAGACACCCAGCTTTCCCTTTTACAGATAGGCCTGAGACCCGAGGAAGGTCACAGGACTCGCCCTGCTCGGTACTGGTCAGACTGCCCTACGCAGAGAGAGAGGGGTGCACACGGAGGCATCTCGGCCGCAGGTCCCTGCCAGCCCGGCACCCCCGCTGTCCTCTGGTGGGTGCTACGCAGATGCACTGACCGCTCATCCGGTGGCAGGACCCACAATCCTAGGCTACAAGGAGCTGCTTCCGGATGAAGGATACCAGAGACCCTGTCCTGGAACAAGCGCACCCTATCTGCTCCACGGCTGTGTCACAGGCGGGTAGCAAGACACACTTGTCATGCAAAGTCTTGGCAAATGCGAGGCAGGGCCAGCACAGTGCCACTCAAAGCATGACACCAGAAGAGCAGGGGGCACTGGGCTCTCCATGCCTGTGTGCTCGAGTGGGTCCTTGGGTGGCCAGACACTGAGCAGCAGACGCTAACTCGAGCCAAGACAGGCTCTGGAGACGGAGGGCTTGGGTACTGTTCTGGACAACGGTATGTCATTCTTGCCTCCTCTGTGCTTAGCGTCTGAAGGGTTGGCCTTGGGGAGTTGCAGGTATCACAGAAAAGTGAAGTCCTATCTTTTCATTTTGGCTGTACATTTTTTTTTTCCTTTTGGGGAAGAGAAAACACAAAGGTAGCCAGTTGTGGTGGTGTGTGTCTATAAATCCAGCCCTCTAGGAGGCTGAGGTAGGAGGATCACACGTTTGAGCACAGTCAGCAGCTTAGCGAAACCCGGTCTCAGTACAAATGAAAAAGGGCTGGAGGTGTGGCTCAATTTGAAGATGCTGTGTTCAACCCCCAGGGCTGGGGGTGGGGTGGGAGAGAGATTTCTATTTTGCATACATTTTGGTATCTCTATAAATGAATAGTTGGCTATATATTGGATCATTAATAATAACAGCATTAATAATAGGAAATATCTATCAAGTTTTGTAGCCATTATACTAAATGCTTTACATTCTTTATCTTATTTAATTTCCAACACTTGAAACGAGCTTCTCTAATTATTCCCATCAGACAAGAGTTACAGAAGTAAAAGAAGCTGCCAAGTCTGTCAAGAGGCAGAGGCAGATTTTGAAGCTGGAAATATTTGACTTGAGAATCGTGTAGGCTGCAGACCTGCAAGAGAAGCATGTTCCTTTGGTCTGCTTCCATTGGCATTTCTTTCTTCAACAAGGGGGTGGAGGAAGCATCAGCTTTCCAGTTAGGCAGCTTGAACTTCCAGCCCTCAGCTGGCTTCCTGGTGTCACTAGATTTAACCACTAGTGAGAACATCTCCCATGTCCAAGTAGGATTACTGGAAACACTGTCTTTTTCTTTTCTTTTTAAATATATTTATTGGTACATTTTAGGTATACAATACATTTACATTTATCATTGGGTGCTTGTACCTGAACATGATGTATCTT